GACGCCCAGTATGTCATCACTCTCGCACTTTCAACTTGTACAGAACGTTGCAGCTCGCTTCTTGACTGAGACCAAAAACTTGCGAGGACGTCTTACATCGCTCGTCTTGGCCTCACTCCGCTGGTTACTGGTGAAATATAGAATTGATTTCAAGATGTTTGTTTTTAAAGCCTTGCATGGGGCTCGCCCCTATATATATTTCAGATCCCCTCTGCTTTTGCTCTGCCCAGTGGTCTTTCAGATCCTCTTCTCGGTTTTACTAACCACACCGAAGTCACGATTCAAAACCAAAGTCGATAGTGCCTTTTCTGTAATGGCGCCAAGGCTTTGGAATAGTTTGCCGCTCTCTAGCAAATCCTCCTCTACAATTAATTAATCACTTAGAACTTCTTTTTTCTTATCTTTACTTATTCTTATTTGAGGGCAGGGATGCCTCAACGGTTAAGGCTCTGGATTGCTGGTCAGAAGGTCGGGGGTTCAAGCTCCAGCACTGCCAAGCTGTCACTGTTGGGCCCTTGAGCAAGGCCCTTAACCCTCTCTGCTTAAGGGGCGCTGCATCATTACTGACCCTGCGCTCTGACCCCAGAAAATAATTTCACTGTTCTGTAGTGTATATGTGACAAATAAAGGCTTCTTCTTCTTCTTCTATCTATAATCTGCCCTGTTTTTTGGGTTTTTTTTGCCACTGTCTAGCTGCTTAATCTCTGGTCTTAATTATATCTGTTTAAAAAAAAAAAAAATAATTTTTATATATTTATTTTAATTAGATGTTGTGTTACAATTTAAAATGCATATGCTATTATGCCTCTGTAGGCCTTTGTTTTAAATAAATTTGACCTTGACTTTGACCTTGATTTACTTTCTTTCATTTTTTATTTTCCTGACCTCAGATACATTTTCCATCTCCTTACTATTTTTATTCAGAACGACAAAAATAAAAAAAATCGTCCCAGTTTCCTGAGATTTCATTTGAGCCTTTCTGAATGCATGTGTTCCTCATCGTGGTATTGCCAGTGCCAACTGGAAAGTTGAAAAGTTCACCCAGACAGGCGAATGTGACGCTGCGCAGGGGGACACGCTCTGTTTTCCGTCTAGTTTTTCCGACACGCCATTGGCCATCTGAAACAGAACGCGGTCTGGCCTGTTTGTGGAACTGTGGCTCGAACTTATTTTCATCTCGGCGTTGGGGTTTCGCCATTTATTGTTTTACATCTGTTGTTATTTCAAAGCCTGGATACTTGCGGACTTGGAGAATGTGATGGACTACCAATATGAGGTATGATTTGACCAGCCTAGCTGCCTCATGGCTAACAGGGTGGGCTGGATCGCAATCTTTCATCAGGAAAATGATGCTTATGGTGATGATGTCACTGCGGGGTCAATCTCGGACGTGGATGAGGATTCGGCATCTGCCAAGCGTTTGTGGCAAACGTCTGGCCATACGGGGAACATGTGGGAATAAACACACACAAACACACACACACACACACACACTCTCTTTCAAAGTGGACAATATAAAGCTCTTCCCTACTTATGATTCATTAAACCACATCACAGCACACAACTGCAATCTCAGCTTATTTTCAGTAAGCGAAGACAAAATATGTGTGCGTCCTCGCTTAGACACGTAGACAGACGGAAAGAGAACGAGCAAAATTTTCCACATATGCTACTTGCTAATGCAATATTTCAAACGGGGGAGAAAAAAAAAAAGTTTATTTTGCCGAAGGAAGGTTTGGATGTCGAATGCAAGAGAAGAAAGAAGACAGGAAGTGTAAAATCTGGCTCTGCAGCCGAGCTTCCTTTTCAGATGTCCTAAAAGCTCCCCGACTCGACTTTGAAACAGAAGATTTCTGTGTTTCGCCTATCAGAAGAAAACAGAGCGACTAGCGTCTAGCGAGTGTCTAGCAGCTCTACCTCACAAAGACATGTGCTGTGTGTGGATAACACGGCGTGTTTCTGAAACGCTCGCTGCCATTCCTCCCCTCCCGTTGAGAAGAGACAAAAAGAGGGTGAGGGTGAGAGTGAGGAGAAAACACGAGTGGTTTTTTTCGAAAGAGAAAATGGATTTCCGACGCACCTCGATTCGTGTCCCCTTTCATTTAAATTATTATTCTTTTTGAACTCCCCAAAACAGTGCGTGAACTTAAATCTCATCATTTAAAGATTCTTTTCAGGCAAATCAAAGAGTGAATATTTCAATGAGGTGGCTGATTTATAATTCAGCAGACTCGCAGGTGTTTTAAAGCGTCTGATGGTGAGATCCAGGACACACACACACACACACACACATGCAGGTACACATTCAGCTGGCAATATTACTTGGATTAGTATTGTATATGAAATATTTAGTGCCCCCCCCCACACCCACACACACACCCCTCAATCGTAAAACCTAATAAATCAAATAGCTGCCAAATGTCATTATTAAGACTCAGAGAGAAAGACATCTTTTCATATTCAAATATAGATCAGGAAAAAAAAAATAGGTTAAGGAAAGGTTGAGCAGACGACCTTGACTGTCTGAGATATATATATATATATATATATATATATATATATATATATATATATATATATATATATATAAAGGTGAAGTAAAGGCAAGCAATACAACACATTTATACTGAGAAAGAGAAAAAAGCCGTGCGCGATGAATATTCATACTTTGTTGTCACTTTGTGTGTGTGTCAGTGGTTTTGTCCTCTGCTGGTAGCATTTTGACGCCAGATGACAGAGAGGAGCTTTACTTAGCAAAAGCATTAGTGCAATCTGACTGACACACACTCCACTTTTTAACCACAATGCTCACTCATGCGTAAGTTCAGGCCCAAACAAGTCATCGTCAATTCAGGACGTGGAAATGGAGCGCAACCAGAAGAAGCTGTCTGAGTTGAAAAGTTGCGGTTTAGACATTTTGAAAAATTTTTGCGTGCCAATCAACCGTACCGAGTAGCATTTCATTATCATTAGTATTGTTGTTTTTCTTTTTGGAGGATGATTTGAACAGGATGATCGATAGAAATTGTTGTTATTTTGTCTTCTGGGAAACATGTAAATATCTTAGGTAGCATCTGAAGGGCGGTACTAAATGAAACAAGACAAGATCTTAATGACAATGAAGAAAATAATAACAATTTACACCGAATCATCCTGTTGAAAAGTATCTTAATGTATCGTGTTGCCTTCTTGAGCACCGGTGAATGTTTACACCCTTTGTAACAGTCGAGTACGAGTCCCTCGGTCGTCCACGGTGTGAAAAGATGGATCTCGATATAATAAAGCCGCTGTTGGAAAGGAAAGGGGTCAGATACGTAGAAGATGCTGGAAAAGTAAAGATGCAGGACCTGGAGGATTTTTCTGAAGAACGGCGGGCAGTTTGACTGCTCAGGACAAACACGGGACTCATAAAGAACTATCACAAAACGTAAAAACATCACGTCGTCGATCATCCAGGTAACACACGCGGTATTAATAATCGACTGTGTAAACTTTTGCACTGGTTCATTTGTGAGAATTCAGTTATTATTGTGCCTCGTGGACTATATGTAAACATCTGTTATGTGAAATAGCTTATTACATTTACATTTATTCACTTAGCAGACGCTTTTATCCAAAGCGACTTACCAATAAGCAAAGCGATATATCAAGCAGGGAACAATACAAGTACTTATTATTAACAATTATGAAAATGATTAACATTTAGCAAATTCCGCAAGGCGTACCGTATGTAAACTTACCGTACGACCTCAACTGTGTATAGGTCTAACGAGATAAGATTAATAATCCAATAATCTTCACAGATTATGCATTATGTTAACAACTGCATAGCGTATAATAAACATTATGAAGATGAAATGCATTTAGGGGAATAATTCGAACAACGTGTATAACATGTAATGCATGCATTCGTAGTTCATTATACATTTGGCCTTCATTAACCCTCCTATTACAGTATGTTATGGGTCAAGTCGACCCATTTCCACATTTGAGACGTCTGAAATACTGCTTAATCCCTCTTTGTCTCTTAGAATTTTTTTTTGCCTTTCCTCATTTAGGGTCACGAACTTATATGCAAATATTTCTTCTTGTGGTTTGTCTTGGACGAGCTATAATAAAGGTTTCCTGTTTAAGCTGTTCTTTGCTGTTTTATATAAACTGTGGAAGACATTTTGACCCATAAGATAATGGAGGTAACTTTTTTTTCCCGACAGGGTTAAAAGTGTTACCAAAAAAAAAAAAAAAAAAAAAAAAAGTGCCATGTTGTTAGTGTCTTTAATAAACACTGAAACACTAATTACACTGTGTTGGGGCGGAGGGGAAGGGCAATGAGCAAGTATTTGCCTAAATGTTGTAAATGCAAATGAGTGACTTATTACAGCTTAATTACGTAGCAGATGCTATAAAATAAAGTTACGAGATGGGGGATCTATGCTTTGTCCAAAACCTTTTGGGTATCTTTTAGTAATTAGGCCTTAAGAGAGGTGGAGAGGTGGAAGAATGGAGAGAGAGAGAGAGAGAGAGAGAGAGAGAGAGAGAGAGAGAGAAGGCTTGACAGGTCTACAAGGACAGCTTGATATTATCAGGTTGTAATTAAGTTGTCACTTCAATTATGGCAGCTCAAATTAGAATAGTGCTGGGTTGCAGCGCTGGGCCGTGTCTGTTTGGTTAATTAGTCTGGTGAGTAGTCTGAATACTACAACCATTACACACACACTCACACACTCACACACACACACACACCCATTCACACACACACTCACACACGTTGGAGCTGGTTCAGCTGAGCCCCAAACTGGCATGTCTCAGCCATATTGTAATCCTCTGTAGTGAATACAACCGCTAATAAAGACACGAAGGGGCATTTAATTCGAGGATGCTTTAGCGTGCAGATGCCAAACCGAGACGCGCAGGCTGTCAGATTTCGTCCAATGTGTACAAACTTACCAAAAAAGAAAAACAAAAAATTGAATAGTCTATTCAATAGTCAATCTAATTTTCGCACGGTGGCTTAGTGGTTAGCACGTTCGCCTCACATCTCCAGGGTCCGGGGTTCGAGTCCCGCCGGAGCCATGTGTGTGGAGTTTGCATGTTCTCCCCGTGCTGCGGGGGTTTCCTCCGGGTACACCAGCTTCCTCCCCCAGTCCAAAAACATGCATGGTAGGCTGATTGGCGTGTCTAAAAGTGTCCGTAGTGTGTGAGTGTGTGTGTGATTGTGCCCTGTGATGGACCGGCACCCTGTCCAGGGTGTACCCCGCCTCTTTCCCGATGCTTCCTTTGATAGGCTCCAGGTTCCCCGTGACTCTGAAAAGGAGTAAGCGGTAGAAGATGGATGGAAGTATTAATGCACCATAAAGGCCCACTACAAATCCTGAAATTGGCAGTCTATCACTATCTATCACTGAGCAGCGCCTGTGCTTTACTGTTTACAGAAACTCAAATAACCACTCTTTACAACCACGGTGAGCAGAAAAGCATGTTCGCCCATTTGGTACTAATGCCCACGATCGTGGAGATTTTCTGATGTTTAATGTGAGCATTACCTGAAGATCTTTGCCTGTATCTGCACGATATAATGCAGCGCACCTCTGCCACATGATCGTCTGATTGGATGATTTCAGGAATGATCAGGTGTACAGATATTCCTATTAAAGTGGCTAGTGAGTTTATATACACATCGTAAATCATCCACACACTCATCTCCACAACTCCACACATCTCCACAACTACACAAAGCTACCATTGTTTCTCCACAACTGATCAGAAACGATCCAAAGCGAGAATTAAAATGAATCCATCAGCCACAGAATGAGTGTATTTAACATACACATGTATTTACACTTTAACATCATCGTCCTCTTCTGTGTGTACTGTATTCACGATTGGACTACTCGACCAGCACGCCAACTATGTATGCTTCTCACAGCAGATTCAAACATAAATCCGTTGTAGTCCACGATTCACCATCATCGCACACGGGTCCAGTCGACCTTCCTTTCGCCAATTTATTTCGTACGTACGTGTAACTTCGGCTCTTCAGGAACGCCAGCATCGTGTCATTTCGACAAGTCGTCCGAGACACGTATGAAATCAGATTAGCATACCATAATCATAGTTTTAAAAACTCTGGATGCGAAAGCTGGCTCAGAGTTTCGGTAATAAAATTTTGACAAACACCCGACGGTACACAACGGCGAGAGCCATACGAAGTGTCAAAGCTTTTAGTGAGTTTACAGAGAATGCTGAGGTAGGCAAGAAGGGAATGCAGTCAGCGTGCATTTAAAGTTGTTTTATGAAACGTGTCTCTCCTTCTCTGGCGGTTATGTGGGAGAGAAAATCAGGCAAAGCTTCCAACTCTCCACAGTAACACATTGTTAAGCATTGGAGCAATAAAAACAGAAAGCTGCAAACAACAATGGAAGAAATGTCAGAGCAGGACAGAATGGCTACAGCCGTGAAATGTGGGACGATCCCCCAGCCAAGTATGTTCGTTAATGGCCTGGCTGTGTATTTTCCATCCCATATACATGTGTGCGTGTTTATATCTCCAAACCATCGAGCGCTCACATGCACTTTCGCTTGTTAGCCTATACATCCACACATCACATGCTATGTAAACTTTTGGGTGGTCTGTAACCTGATTTGTGACGCCAATTTTCTGTAACACATTCTCGACGAACAGGACCGATTACTGATGAATAAACGCCCCCCCCCTTTCTTATCAGAGAAGTTATGAAGATAAGCCTCTTTCACCTCCTCTAATGAAACCCACATGAGCTGGAAATTTGCCTGCCGCAGCCGAGCTGCGGTTCTGGCGCGCACGGTTCACGTCCAGGAAATAGTGCAGTCAAAAAGGCGTTTGAAAGCCTGTCTGAGTTCTTCGGAAAAACAGCAGGAACACTGATCTGATCAAATGCAGAAACGTCTTGAACTGTCCGTCCTGATTAGAAATATTGCAACGTCTGACAGCGGTGAAGTTTTTATCCTCGGTCCTTCCTCCACTGTCCTGTGTAGCGCTTTAATTCTATAGTGACATAAATAATAGGTCGACATCTGAATCTGAATCAACAGTTCAGAAATATGCACGAGATATCATATGACAATGTCAGGGATATTCACAGCGACCTTGATCTTATGAACGAGGGATAAAATTGTCCTGACATCCCATGAATCCTGTTCAAGTGCATTTAGAGCAGGCTATACAGCATGCATAATATCTTATAATGCTTGGAATGAGTCTGTATAAATGTTCCTAGTTATGTAACACGATATTTCTTCACAAGACCTTTTAAGAGACGTTACAATGCATTATAAGTCCTGCAATACAACCTGAAGGTCAGATACTACCCCAAAAGATTGTGTTATAATGTATTACAGCGTTATTGATCACTGTGTTGACATTATCAGACATTATAATGCATTAGGTAATCTAACATAATGAAGTTCTATTCGCTATGAAGAGTTCTGCACTTTATAAGCAATTATACAGGATCATTAAGCATTATAATTGATGCTACATAATATGTATAAACCCATTCAAAACACATTAGGAATTCAGACTTTTTGAGAAATATACATGCAGTGATCTTTTTCAGTTATATATATGACAATATATATACATATAAATATATAAATATATATATATATATATATATATATATATATATATATATATATATATATATATATATATATATATATATATTACCCTGGTTCTCTCATTTACTACAATATCATATGTATTTATAACCATCTTGATCTCGTTAGGAAAACTGTCAAACAATGAATATTACATGACCAAAAGTACACTCGGCCACAAAGTCATGAACTTCTGATGTAAGTCAGAGTAATTGTTATAGCATGCATCATTCGGAAGTTATATCAGCTGGGAACCAAAATTGAGGAAAGAAGTCTTTATTGCGTGCGATGAATGTTCCAGAATCCAGATTAACTTTAAAAATGTTGGAGTAAGCCTTAGTGGTTAGCACGTTCGCCTCACACCTCCAGGGTCGGGGGTTCGATTCCCATGTGTGTGCGGAGTTTGCGTGTTCTCCCCGTGCTGCGGGGGTTTCCTCCGGGTACTCCGGTTTCCTCCCCCAGTCCAAAGACATGCATGGTAGACTGATTGGCGTGTCTAAAGTGTCCGTAGTGTATGAACGGGTGTGTGAGTGTGTATGTGATTGTGCCCTGCGATGGACTGGCACCCTATCCAGGGTGTACCCCGCTTTGTGCCCGACGCTCCCTGGGATAGGTTCCCAGGTTCCCCCGTGACCCTGAAGAGGAGTAAGCGGTATAGAAGATGGGTGGATGGATGGATGGATGGGAGTAAGCCTTTAACAATGTTATTGTCAGTTATGAAGGGCTTATGTAGGAGTCATGAGCCCTATTCCTCATTATAGGTTCATCGTAGGACAGTATTTTATAACTTTTTTAACAAACTTTTTTTGTAATGTAATATGGAAACTCTTGATTGTATGAACAGATTGCTCGAATAAGAATAATGTCCACTATGAAGGGCTTATATAGAAGCCATGTAGCCTTATTCATCATTATAGGTACGTTATAAGATGCTATTAATAATCTAATATGTAAACAATTGATTGTAGACTAATTACTAAAATTATTGTTGCATGAATATAATATGCTCTGTGTATGGCAAGACTTGATTGGAGATGAATCCCTACTACTAATTAAGCAGATTGTTTGAATAAGCCTTTATAAATATTAATATCAATTATGAAATGCTTATGTAGGAGTCACGAAGCCCTATGAGCACTCCACTTATATTTAATGGTATGTTACCAAAACATGTAATGGAGCTTTTATGATGTCATAATAAATTTGTTAATGACATATTAGGGTCAGCAGTCGCTGTCGCTGCATGGTCAGCATCATTTTGCTTACTAAAAACAGAGCTTCAAAAGCAAATTGAAAATTGCTGGAAAAATTAACTGAAATTGAGAGACACAATAATAAACCTGTGGTCACCGAGGCCAGACTCTGTGCATTGCAGACCACTTTTCTTTCTTTTCTTTTTTTTTTTTTTTTTTAGCCTGAGTGGTTGCAGAGGTGACGGTGAGTTCACGGAGGTCTTGCACTCTGTCATCTCTTTTGAAAAATTCAGCATGTAACCACACAGTCATAATAATTCAGAGCCAAAACAGCCAACTCGGAGCGCTTGGCTGCACAACAAAGAGGAGCGTTTCAATCCTTTTGGGAACGTGCAAGAATTTCTTTAGTGGCTAATAGCTTAATTAGGCCATAAGAAATAATAAAAGGCAGAGTAAAAACACTGACTGCCAAATTATGACAAAATAGCAATGCGGATTTTTTATTTTTATTTTTTTATAATTTTTTTCCTCTTCAGAGGCTTTGACAATCTGAAGCTCATTAACTAAAGCCCTATTAGGCTAATTTCCTATTCCGTAGACAAACCTTATTTGTTTAAATCAAACATATGTTTAATTGCAAATAACAATAATCAAAATAATAATAAACAGTAAGGTGTGGCTAACGTTTTATGACATAAAACGATAAGTTGTTTTCATCCAAGCTCAGATATGCAAAACGCAGACCTGCAGCCTCCATGCTATTACTGTAAACAGACATTAAGCATTAATTATAAAAAACCGTGCCGATACTGTTTTGCGGTCAGGAACCCTATTAAATCCGGTTTGACCTTTCTGCAGCCCGAGGCAATATTTTCCTTAAACACAGTTTTGGATCGAAGGATGAAAGAGGTTTTAGCAGACTTGATATGAAGAGCCTGCCCAGTAAGTCGGGCATGGTTAGTAGGTTAGTATGTGGTTTTTGAAACATCGCTATCCCCAAGGATATTAAAAGTACAATGCAATCATTAAAGCAGCCGTAATAAAATATAACTCGAATAACTGTTACTGGACATTTGACCTTTCTGTGACTGTCGTATATATATAAAATTCAGGGGGAAAATGATGAAATGGAACAACACAGAGAAGACAAATAGATTTCATTTACAGCAAGATGTTTAGTGTGTCAGGTTTTCCACGGGTCTTTGTTATATAATATTCACATAACAGGTGAAAAATGATAAA